AAGGAATTGCAATATTGCCTCCTACGTGAGATTTAGAGGAGAATTGAAAATAGGAAAAATTTAAGAAAGTTAGAAAGAATACCTAGTTGAGAATATTTTTCGTTTATAAACAGAGTTTCGAGGCTACTAGTAAGTCAATTGTGATACGTATCCACCCTATTTCGTAATAAGGAACTAGCAGTTGAATTTTTCCAAAGTTCCCGCAGTTTCCAGTGAATTTCACATATCCTTACTTTCGCAAAAGTTGTTCTCACCCAGGGTGCATTGCAGTTTGGACTAGGTCTTATATGCACACCCAGCGGGAGCGCAGCGCGTAATCTACTGACGTTAATCACTAAGCCACATTACCATGAGTGCCCTTGGGTCATAGATCAGATGTATATTTCGAGGAAGGCCAGGTATTTTTCCATAACACATTCTTTGGTGGGATTGTCTCATATAAGTGATTTCGAAACTTCAATCCCCCTGGATGATAACAACTTTTGGGAAAGCAAGGCTGTGAAATTCAATATAAACGTCAGCTCAACTCATAGCATTGTGGGAAACTTCAACTACCAGTCCTTCATCGCCTTAAACGAAATATAGTAAATACATCTGATATTAGTTGAGAATAGGCGTATGATTAGTGAGAAGGAAAGAATCAAATTATTTTTAAACCCCTATAAGTAAACAATAGCATAAGATAAGCAATCACTTAAATATATAATTTTTCAATGATCCCAGTGCATCAAAGCGAATAAATTATTATAGTAAAAGGCTGAAGTTAAGTACACCACTCAAAGTATAAAAAAGAGTTTTTAGGCCTCAAATATGTGCAATTTTTAGCCCGGATTGGCGTTACGCGATTAGGAAAAATGATTGAATTCTAATGACTGACCAACAAGTAGACGCATACTGCTAGGAGTCGATGCAGGAAGATGTTGGGACGATAACAAGCTGTTGTTAGACTTCATAGATAATGAGTAGGCTGGAAGGGAGCCAGGCAAGCTTGATTTCAGTTCAGCTTGTCCGAAAAGGCTGTCGGCGACAAGAAAGAGACTAACCAGAAGGCAAAATATAGTACTGCGTGTAAACACATGGATGCGATTGAAGCCATGCTTAGGAGAGGCAGCACTTGGTTGAACACTCTTGACTAGGGAGAATTGGCAACCAGCTATGCAGAAACAAGCAAGCATTAAGCGGGCATCAGTAAAATGGCCAGTGTTGATCATCTGGCATCCGAGACAGGCTACAGCAGAGGCCAGCAAAGTGCTAAGGATCGTCTCACCACACGAAAGAGACCTATAAAGGAATATCCCAGCGAATAGGCAAAAAGTAAAATATTGACTAGCTACAGAAGTGCTAATATGAAACTCCAAGCATGAATGAAATAGGAATGATCTAGATTTCGTCAAATATAATAGTTACTATATTTTAATAATATTTTATTACTCTTAGGAGATTAATTTATAAATCTAGAGAGACTCCATTCTAAAATAATAAAAACAGAGTAATTGTAGAGTTCCTTAGTCATCTGATTCCTCCTTACGTTGAGAAATAACCTTATAGAATAATCAGGATTATCTGTAATTTGGGTAGTATACAGGTATTCCAAAATAATAATGTAGAAAAAAGCTACTCCCTAAATGTTACTAATAATTCATTGACATATATCTGTAAGGATTTTATCCCTTAGATAACTAAAGGAATTTATTAATATCTATAAGAGAATCAAGTTATAAAAGCGTCCAATAGAGTTTAATCAAGAAAAAATGGCTACATTTAATGGCATACAGCTGTTTGCATTATTTCCTAATCGGGGATAAATTTTTTATTTAAATATTAGCTGGTAAAGAACAAATGGATGAATTAGCACTCACCTATATTCAAAATCCTTCATATATGATTAGCTTACAGCTTAAATGCAAATAAAACACACTTATGAGTAAAAAAATGGGTTTTCGTTTGCCAAAAGAAGTGTTAAGTAAATATTTAAGAGTCAGAATTAAAATTAAGTGAAATTGCTTTTCGATGATTATTTTAGCATAACAGTGATGGCTTAAAGTTCGTTTCAAGTTGGAGTGTGAAATAAAAATATTCGCAAGTCGATATCAACAGAAGATGGCATAAGAGTCCCCTATGTGTGCCGTCATTTAACGTTCAGGGTAGAGCAATGCTGTACGCATGTGCCTCCGGTTCCTGTGAAGGCGTTCAAGGCATTTGTTAAATGGAAGACATCATCCAAGCAAGGGCGCATTCTCCTAATAGCCTTGAGCTGACAACTAGTCAAGAACAACGAACAATGAACTTGATCGACGCACGCCTTCATTTGGAAAAAGGTTAAATCAACACACAATTATTAAGGAAAAATTCAATGAATGCCCATTAAAGTGATAAAGTATTAGCCATACTACCTAGAGATGAAATTTAAGTAGCAAATGATTTCAAATAAATATGAGCATACAAATTGGCAGGCGAGATGAATGGCATCAGCGCAAATGAAAAATAGTGGATAGGAATCCAAGAATTTTGCTAAGTTTTTCCGATCTTAAAATAATAAAAGATCAACATAAATAAATCAGGATTTGCTTAATTTTACACGATAAAATTGTGCAAGAATAGTCAGACGACCGCTTAAACGAACAGGAAGGTCATAAATTAAGATAATGGAGAACTGCTTGTGTCATTTGGCTTTACCGGAAAAATTGTAAATCAAGAGATTTCTGAAATTCAATTTTTTTTCGTATAACCTCATATTAGTCTGGCCGACCGAGTGCTATCTTGGTAACTAATTTAAATAATATCCCGTGGTAACACATTAACCATTTGAAGCATGTAATCCTCCCGCCCACAGTCAGCCATCCCTTGGTGATGAACTGATGCTTGGTTCTCAAAGAA